GGCCAGGTCCAAGTCTGTGACTCAGAACAGATGATCCACAGCAGTGGCACAAATACACTCTCGGTACCCGCTGGGAAGACCCGTGCAGCCCTGCACTCCCGCCCTGCAGGCTCCCGGGGCTGGCCAGGGCTCACTTGCTCTCTGGCCGTCCCGCTCGGATTTGCGTATTTCTCTCTCTCTCTCTCTCTCTCTCTCTATTCTCACTCACTCACTCACTTTCTTTTCCTTTTTCTTCCTTTCTTTTTCACTTTCTCTTTCTCTTTTTCTTTATTGCTTTCTCTCTTTCCCTTTCATTTTCTTTCTCTTTCTCTCTTTTGCTTTCTCTCTCTTTCTTTTTTCTCTTTCCCTTTCTCTTTCTCTTGCATACTCTCCCACTTTCCCTCTTATCCTTTCTCTTTTCCTTTCTCTTTCCCTTCCTCTTTCTCTTTCCTTTTCTTTCTCTTTTTCTCACTTTCTCTTTCTTTTTTCTTTCTCATTTTCTTTCTCTCTCTTACTCATCCTTTCCCCTTATTTCCTTTCTCTCTTTCTCTTCCTCTCCACCTTTTCTTCCCCTGCCCCTCACACACACACACACAGACTCAAATTCTCTTCAGTGAGGTTTCTCTTTCTTGACAGAACACTCTTTTTAACACTCACACTGTTTTTCTTTAACCCACTGGCTGACTCACATGCTCTAACACTCGCATGACCTAACTCTCTCATTCTCCCACACGCACATACAAATGTCCACCATCATTGCAGGCTGAGGCTCAGGTGGAGCAAGAGTCACACTTGACGATGTCCTGCTCCCTGTGGCACACTCGTTGCCCGTCACCATGACCAGCTTTTGTCAGTGGGCCTGTGTCCTCCCTGTTGCATGGTTTCGGCCCACAGCGGGCAGCAGGCGTTGCCTGAATCCACCTAACGACATTCCCACTCCGCTCTGGCTCTCCCCTGGTTTCCCTCCACATCCTACGGCTCGACAGGTGCTGGGAGATCCTCATACCAACCGGGGGGGACACAGCCCAGTGCGGCATCAGCTGCAGCTGTGTGAGCTTCCCGGAGGAGGGAGGGAGCCCCGCTCGTGGGCCTGCATGGTTCCAGTTTCTGCAAGGCTGTGCTATTCCTGTCTGCCACATCTTCTCAATGAAACACCTCACCGTGTGTCTCTGCTAAATGGCAATTTTGCTGACGTCTCCGAATTTTGGCTAAACCTCAAAGCTGAAAGGTGGCCACAAAGGGGACCTGGATGCCTTAGTCCCTTGCCCGCCTTCAGCCTAGTCAAGCTTGTGAGTGTCGGGGACGGGTTTCTTTGAAGAGAGTTGTCTGCCCGGCAGGAAGTGCCGGGCATCCTCCTCCGCTCTCCATGGTGGGGCAAGGGTGTGTGCTTAGCCCACACAGCCCCCGGGAGCTGCCTGTGACTGCGGAGCGGAGAGTGGCGGCTGCCATGCGGGTGAGCGCCACCTCCTCAGAAGGTGAGGCAAGGGTGTAGGTGTTCCCACAGGTTAAGTGGACTTCGCCAACAGCAGCCAAGCTGGAGCCATCTTGAAAAGACCCGCAAAGGAGGACTGCCAAAGGCCAAAGAGAGTCCAGCCGGAAGTCTGGAGGTGTCCCCTCCAAGCAAGAGCTAACAGAGGGCTGTTGACGGCCAGCAGACAATGCATCACCCACTCGGGGGCCTATGTGGTGTCAGATCTCTGGGGAGGCCAGGAGCGTGGCTGAAGGTCTCAAAGACTCTCCTTAAGCACTTGGTCCTCTGCCACACAGAAGCACCAGGCCCGGTTACGCCAGCAGCTGTCAAATAAGATTTCCCTCTCGCCATCCAGAGCAGTAGGCAGGCAGGGAGAAGGGAGCAAGAGCTGAGAGGCAGAGGGAGAGAACAGACCACGTCCCTCCCCTGAGGCAGGACACTGAGCCTGGGCCTGCCCTGAGCTGGGCACTGGAGGACTAACCTGGAACTGGGTAAGAGAGTGAAGTTTCCATTTAAATCAAACTGAACTTTTTATTTTTTTTATATTTATTTTTTTTTTATTTTATTTATTTTGAGACAGAGTCTCGCTTTGTTGCCCAGGCTAGAGTGAGTGCCGTGGCGTCACCCTAGCTCACAGCAACCTCAAACTCCTGGGCTCAAGCAATCCTCCTGCCTCAGCCTCCCAAGTAGCCGGTACTACAGGCATGCGCCACCATACCCGGCTAATTTTTTCTATATATATTAGTTGGCCAATTAATTTCTTTCTATTTATAGTAGAGACGGGGTCTCACTCTTGCTCAGGCTGGTCTCAAACTCCTGATCTCAAGCAATCTGCCCGCCTTGGCCTCCCAGAGTGCTAGGATTACAGGCGTGAGCCACCGCACGCGGCCCAAATTGAACTTTTTAATACTCCAAAAATTAGTCTGTTCTGATACCTGAAATTACCAGAAAATCCACTCAAACTCTGTTTGAGATGTTATCTAGGAAGAGAAAAGGAGTCCCCAGCAGAGCTGGCCGGAAGGGCAGTGTGGGGTTGGGGAGATAAAGTTATTCTTGGTTCGTGCTCCGCTGAGGTCAGTTCATGCAACACACAGGTGGGTTGTACTTGTGGCTCTGATATGCTCGGGTGTCAGACGTGCTAGAACCGCGTTGGGGAAAGGGGTTGTCCAATGTGGACTCTGGGCTGGGAGGAGAAGCCAGAAGTGGGGCCGGGGAAGCTAACCTGCCTCGGGACAGTATGTGGCCCCCAGCCCAGCTCCCAAAGTCCAATTGTCCAAATACCTATGTCAGGCAGTCTGGCTGTTCAGGAGGATGGTCCAGCAGTGAGCTCAAGCCTCCGAGGTCAAAGATTCCAGAAGCCAAGAGGTGGGGAGATCAGTCCCATGAGTTTGCCTCCTAGGACATGTTCCCCTGCAGCCCTCCCTGCCTAGCCCTGACTGCATTAAAATCTCTTCGTTGTTTTCATAGCTTCCTGTGCTTCCTTCTAATTTAGCCCATATCTCGCTGTCCTGTAATTGTCCCTCACTTTGGTGTTTCCTTCCCAGGGCCTGGGGGAGGGCCTATCACGGACTCAGTAAATGTTTCGTGAGTGAGTGAGTGAACGAATGGATGAATGAATGGATGGATGGATGGATGGATGAAGAGCAACACAGGTGCCTCGGGCCGCACACCTGTCCACACGGTGGGAAGTGAGCGAGGCAGCGGCCAGGGAAACAAGATGGCAGCAGTCAGGGAAACAAGATGGCAGCGGCCAGGGAAACAAGATGGCAGCTGGCACTGTGGCCTCCCTGCAGTTTTCCACTACCGACTTTGGAGTGTCTGCAGCATAGAGGCCATCACGATGTGAGCATGTGCTCTGTAGTAAATAGGTCAAGGACAGCCATTCATCAATGGCGCCAGGCACTGTGGCACTACAATTTTGTAAGTAGAGAAGTCACATCCAAGGGGCATAGGATCCAGTTCCTGCTGAATCCATTCCCAGTGAACCACTGCGACGGAAGAATAATGTCATCTGGTAACATATGCAAAGAACACCTTCCCAATAAAATTCTTTAAATCAAGAGGCAGTGCTTAAATCAGAGCGAGCACACCAGTATCAACGAGATGCAATTGATTCTAACCACCAGAGGAACAAACCAGAACCCATGTTACCACGCACAGGCACGTTACCACGGAAAGGCAAGCTGGACAGGCCAGGGGAGAGTGGTCAAACACCACGTCCCACATAATTTCAGATCTCCGAGCCCCACGCCAAGATTCCGCCAAACCGTATGGCATCCAAGAGACGAGAGTTAGATGGGAAAAGCATATGGCTTGGGTCGGGGGAGGGCTGGGGAGGAATCATACAAGAAACAGACTTGCTTTTCCAGAAGAGGTCTGCTTCAGCATCAGACTGTTGAGGCAAAATATGCTTTTTGAAACAAACAAAAAGAAATGTCTTCAGTATTGCCTTTTAATACCAGGAACTACGCACTGGAGGGTGGGACGCGTCCACCTCCGCCCCGCACATGCGCACAGTGCGGACCCGCGGATGAACACGCACGGGGAAGGTAGCCCAGGGGTCCAGACCCTCTCGGTGCTGTCAGAGGCATCTGGCAGAAATAATTTGATTACTCGATTCAACACCTACACTGCGTGTTTTGCAAGTATAATTTTTTTGTATTATTTCTTTGGAGGTTAAAAAAAAAGTATACACATAAAATTGAGTTTTAGCATATTTTTGGTGTTTGCCAACTGTTACATGGGGGAGGGGTATCGGATTTGGTTCTTTAAATTCTTTATTTAAAAAGTGGTCATAAGTAATTTGAAAAGAAAGCTATCACCAAAAGCCAAAAGGCTATTACTACTAGGTAAGGAAAAGCCAGTCGAGGAAATTTGCGAAGTGGATAAACACGGAGCTCACAGAGAATTGGGTCAAGCTTCGCATATCCAAGCAACAACCTGCCTTTCCATAGTTAACGTGAGGCCAGGCCATAAATCTAACAATAGTTAGACACTGTGTGCCCAAGGGCATTCCTTGGTCCAATAGGTATGTGACATTGAGCAAGTCACCTCTCAAAATTAATTAAGAGGTTCGGAAGACCTACAATATGCCTGCTACAATGCTGATTTTCACAATCATGCACTTTTTAAAATCCTCATCACAACCTTGAGGATGTAGAAATTGTTATGCCCAAATTCCAAGTGAGGAAACTGTGGCTCCGAACAGTTTTGTAACCTTCCCAGTGTCACACAATGTCCTGGAACATCAGGACTGGCCAGGAATGTCTGAAACCGGGTGAGCAGTACCAAGCCAGGAAATCAGCAGAGGGAAGAGAGCGACCCAGGGCTGAGCAACAGCTGGGAAGGGAGATGTCCTGCCACATCTGGCTGAGTTTTCCCCTCATCTGCCTGTAAGTCTGACTTCTTCTAAGGTGCCTTGAAGATCCCAAAACACTTCTGACACTCAGGAAAGCTGATTAAGGATTCAAACACAGGTAGTGATGATGATGATGATGATGATGATGATGATGATGATGATGATGATGATGATAAATGATGATGAGTATGATGATAATGGTGATGCCTGAGGATGAGGATGATGAGGATTAGGATGATGATGGCAATGCTAAGTAAAAGTAGTACCATCTGTCGAGGTCTTTTTATGTGCCAGGCATTGTTAGATACTTTAAAACCTCTTTCTCATCTTGTTCTCACCATATAACCTTCTAAGGTAGAGATTATCATTCTCCTCCATGTTACAGAGGAAGAAACTAAGGCTCAGAGAGGAATGAGTTCCCCAAGGTAACACAGCTAGTCGGTAGCAAAGCTGAAACCCAAACCCACACCTAGAGAACCCAAAGGCCATGCTCTTACCCAGTACACTTGGTCGCCTTCCCATAGCAATTTAGCCACAAGCCCCTAGGGAGGAATGTGACCAAAGCAACCCCTAAGGTTCCATGCAAATATTGAAATGCTACCACCATGACTTTGTCATTTTCACTACAAATACATTCAATGTATGTTTGTCTTTGAAATTTTAGTTATTTTTGTTGTTCGACAGGAGTTTTTCATTTTATGGGCCCAAACTTTAAAAACCCTTCCTCTTATGATGATTTTTCTGTGACTTCGATACTTGGTAAGGTATTCTGCTAGAGGGGAAAGAAATAACAACTCTAGTCTGTTTTCTGACTGTACATTCTTTTAACTTTTGAATCCATCTGGAACTCATTTTGATGTATGGTAGTAATCAAATTTTAGATCCACTGACCTAGCTAATGCTGTTTCTGACAAAAGCCTCCTTATTGCATCTTCCTGGAATGATTATCACAAGATAAAGCATTCTTCTCTCAAAGCTGAAGTTTTCCGAATGCTTTTTCAATTATTTGAATTCTGCTAATACTTCTATAAATCTCAGTCTTCCTAAACTACGTATAGGTAATTCTACTTTACATTTGTTAGCAAATAAATTTGACCAGAAAGGGGACTGGCTGAGATGGTGATTTATAGCAGATATGTGATGTCCCCACCATCAAATTGCCAGGAAAATGGCAAACAAACTTTAGTTGACACTCCATTAGCATTTTGTAGACTGACCCTGCTGAAGACCAAGGCTGGCATTACCCCAGAGTGTGGACAGCATTTAGCACAGCTGATCAGTGCTAACTGCTAGTGCATTGGAGGACAGGCCAAGTGCTGAGCTATAGAAGAGATACTCCAAGTGAAGAAACAGTAAAATCGCCACATCTGTGACATAAGACTGCAGGTCAGAGGAAGGAGAGAAAATCTTTTTTAAAAAAATGCTCCTGCTGGGCACAATGGCTCACGTCTCTAATCCTAGCATTTTGGGAGGCCAAGATGGGAGGATCACTTGAACCCAGGAGTTTGAGGTTACAGTGAGCTATGATGATGCTACTGCACTGCATTAAGGTGTACAGTTCAGTAGTTTTTAGTTCAATATGCACTGAGATGTTCAGTCATTGTCACAGTCAATTTTGGAACTTATTCATCACCCCAAGAGATGAGGTTCAACCTCATTCTTTTGCATTTGGATATCTGAATTTCCCAGCTCCACCTCTAGCCTTTTTGAGTCACTGTGTCCTTTAACAGTGGAGGGAAATAACTCAAAAGCTCAACCCAGTAACAGCAGGAAGTTCAGTGCTACCACCAATATTTTTAAGGATTCCTGCAGGGAGAAGTGTGTTCATACTATATCATCTTTCATTCTGAATTCTTGCTCTTGTGTCTTCTCTGTCACAGATGGTGTATGGCTCATGAAAGTAACACCCATGAATTACACATATTGCAAAAGAAGTCAAAGAAATGCCTTCCAGTTCATTTGCTCCTGAGAAAAAGAGATTCCAACCAAGTCTTTCCCACATATATACCCCGGCTGGAGCCATGTATGTCACATAAACAACCTTGCCACTTGAGCACAGTTGATGGCCCCAGGGACCTGTTGCAGAGGTACATAGGACAGAAAGGTTTAAGATGGCTTGATACACATGCTACTTAAGGGCCCATTCCATGTAAGTGGGGGCAAATGGACCCTATCAAATCCCCCTTTTGGAGAAGTGTAAATGCTCGCCCTAATTTTGTGAGATTAATGGGAAGCCTAGATCACCAAAATTGATCACTACCAGTTATGATTTTGGCTAAGATAGGCACTCTTGATAATGCTAAGTTTTCTAGGAAAATGGGTATCATACTTATATATTTTATATGTTTTATCACATTTTTCCAGTGTTTATTAAGGTAAAAATAAAGTTTTTTTAAAGGGTCTCACTGTAACTCTATGGATGTGATGTCTTATTGTAATAAATTCCTAAAGGTAATCCTTTCATTTGTGGGATAAACTATTTGGTTCTATTGTGTCATCTTCTGTTCACTTTTTTATTTTTATTTTTTTTTTCTTCTTTTTTTTTTTTTGAGACAGAGTCTTGCTTTGTTGCCTAGGCTAGAGTGAGTGCCGTGGCGTCAGCCTAGCTCACAGCAACCTCAATCTCCTGGGCTTGAGTGATCCTTCTGCCTCAGCCTCCCGAGTAGCTGGGACTACAGGCATGCGCCACCATGCCCGGCTAATTTTTTCTATATATATTAGTTGGCCAATTAGTTTCTTTCTATTTATAGTAGAGACGGGGTCTCGCTCTTGCTCAGGCTGGTTTCGAACTCCCGACCTCGAGCGATCCGCCCGCCTCGGCCTCCCAGAGTGCTAGGATTACAGGCGTGAGCCACCACGCCCGGCCCACTTTTTTATTTTTTAACATTTAAGATTCACAAGATTGGTCTATAGATTTCCTTTTCATCCATCTCTATTAAGAATATTTAAATTATGCCATTTTTGATTGGCTTAAACTTAGTAGGTCCTACAGTCTAAAATAATGCAAATGATATGGAAATTTTTCAATCTTTGTCAATTGGGGAAGAATTATCCATAATCATCTCCAGCCTAGGGAGCAAGCATTTCTCTTGAGATTTAATCATTTCACTTATTTTTTCAAGAAACTCATCCATTTCTTGGAGAATCTTTAATTCACTGTTGTAATTGTCCATGTGGTTAACTTTTAATTTTTTAATATTCTGCATATGTATCATTATATTAATATTACTGTTCTGAGCTATACTTTTACATACATATTTTTCCACTTTTATCTTGATTAAAATTTCTAGAAATTTGTTTTTTAAGAACCAGTTCTGATAATTATTTATAAATTCCAGTTTCGTATTTTTATTTTATTTTATTTTTTGAGACAGAGTCTCATTCTGTTCCCTGGGCTACAGTGCCATGCATGGCGTCAGCCTAGCTCACAGCAACCTGAAACTCCTAGGCTCAAGCAATCCTCCTGCCTCAGCCTCCTGAGTAGTTGGGACTACAGGCATGTGCCACCATGCCCACCTAATTTTATTTTTATATATATATATATATTTTGTTGTTTAGTTGTCCAGCTAATTTCTTTCTATTGTTTTAGTAGAGACGGGGTCTCACTCTTGTTCAGGCTGGTCTCAAACTCCTGAGCTCAAATGATCCACCTGCCTCAGCCTCCCAGAGTGCTAGGATTACAAGCGTGAGCCACCATGCTCAGCCTTTATTTCTTTATAATTCTTTATAATTACCTATTTGTACTTTTTTAAAGTTAGTTTTTCATCCATTTTCTAGCTCCTATGTATAATATATAAACCAAAGACTTTAATCATATATTTTTCTACCCTGATCTTTATAAGTGGATATTTATAAAGGTATATAAGGGTATATTAACCTGTGATTAAATGGAAATATTTCATGGACACTTGAAAGGATATATTTCTATTTGTATACCATTATTATAATAATGTTAATTAAAATATTTAATTTTATCACTTATTAAATTATTTTGTTTACTATAAATAATGTGTTGAAATTTATTATTCTCTTGTCTTCTCATACTTCCAATGACTTTTTACTATGTATATGTTGATGCTATTCCTTAGCACATAAAGTTTCATTGCTATTAAATCTTCGGTCTCAATCACTGTTTCTTAATGTGTGGTCCTTGGACCAGCAGCATCAGCCTCACCTGGGAATTTTCTAGAAATGCAAATTCTCAGACCACACTCCAGACCTAAAGAATCAGAAACTCTTTGATTGGGGCCCAGTGATCTGTGTATCAAAAAGCCTCCAGGTGATTCTGACATACCTTACATTTAAAGAATCACTTACCCATATTAGAACTTCTAGCAGTATAAAATGGTTCTAAATGACTCAATTAATGATCACTATGACTACTCTGCTTTCTTATTTGTTTTTCTAACACATTTTTGCCTTTTATTTTATTGTTGATTTTTTTGCATGATTTTTGTTTAGGTACATCTCAAGGACATAACAAACCACTGAATTTTATTTTATGATCAAAGTGGAGAATGCTTAACTTATTTCAAATGAAAAATTTAAATCATTTACATTTATTCTCATATTTGTTAGGCTTGATCTTTCTAATGCCATTTTATGCTTTCTGGATTTTATCCCTTTTATATTTCCTTTCTGTCTTGGTTTTCTTTATAAGCCACATTTTGTTCTAATCTTCCACGAATATTTGGATTTCTAGTAAATTGCCAGAGGTGAGTACGTTCTAGTAAGTTCTAAAACTTTGAAAATCTACATTTAGTTAGCAAATACAAAGACTGTCATTTTTCATCTTTTGAAAATGTGGAAATTAGCACTGGCATTTCCCCTCGCCCTTTAGTCTCTCCTTCCTGCTATCTTTAATTTTGAGTTCAAATATTATTTTCTCTTTTAAATATACATAACATATATAATCTTTTCACATAGTCTTTTGCCTTCTGTGTAACCAAATCTATCACTATTACTAAAATCATACCTATATGTTTAATATATGCAGTGATCGCTGCAGTGTAATTCATGTCTCAATGCCACGAACACTTCATGGCTAATTTGTTAAGCAATATTATGCGGGTGGTGTATTTCTCCAGACACTAAACATATCTGACAATGTCTTCCTATTCCCTTCACATAGAAAGCACAACTTTCTCCAGTAAGTTCTGTATACATCACTACAGTGTTTTCTGGCTTTTAGTACTGCCAATCTGCTTTTTGCTCATTTGCCAGCAACAGGGTTTTTCTTCTCTGTTCAAGATGCTGGTAGGACTTTTTTTTTCTTTTTCTTTGAAATTCAAAATTTTTTTTACTTTTTAAAGACTTTTAAATGCCAGAAATGCTTTCGTCCCGTTTTCTTGGTTTATTATCTCTACTCCATTTATTATCGATTCTTTTTCTAGAATACCTATTAATCATGAAATGATTAATATCTTTGAGTATTAATATCTATGAATGTCTTTGCCCTTTTCATCTGCATTCTAAGAATGTTTAAAGTTTGTCTTCCACCTCTTAATTGCTTTTTTATAGTATTATGTCTTCACTTTCTCTATTCCTGCATGGATTTCATTTTAGCTACTATTTTTATCATTTCTATGCATACTTTTATTTTTTCACCACCTTCCCCTCTCATAACAGCCTGGTCCATTTAATGGAAGAAAGTACCCTCATGTACCCTGTTAAGAATTGGTATTTTGGTTTTTTTTAATGTCTTTCAATTTCTTGTAAGAAATCTATTTCAGAGGAGAATGAATTTGCTTAGTCACAGCATTACCATGCTTCTCTTGTGCTACAGAATTTTTCCATAAACCTTATATTGATTTTCCTATGTTCTCATCTTTATGAAGGAGATATATGCCAGGCCAGTACGAAGCACTGCCAAGAAAGAATGGTTCTGGGAGTAGTCAGAGATTGAATGCAGAGGCAGTGGGAGAGGGTGCCCTCCTAGTTCTGTCACATTCCCAGTTTCACATCCAAAGTGGAAAAATGTTGCAACAGGTTAGAAATGCAGAGATTAAATGACCTAGACAAGAGCAGAGCCACCTCTGGGGGTCTCTTAACATGGAAAGGAACCAAAAACAGAAAAAAGGCCTCTTGCTGTGCCCTTATTGAATATATTCCTGGCCCTACAGCATTTTAGAGCCAGAAGTAAACTACAGCAAGGAGATCAAGCTGTCTCTCCAGCTGCGGCCTAGTCCGCACGTGAATGCAGGTGCCTTGACCTCCACACTGAAGCCATCACAAGTGGCCACGTGGGCCTTGCACTGCACCAGCCGGAGAGATCGTTCAGGTTGCTACAATGCAAATGGGACCCCTAGAGGTGTATACTGTGGCAGCCGGCATTTAAGGATCTTATTTTTTTAAATCTCTATTGAATTTTCTTTGCTCATGACTGCCTCTTTATCATAATATACACTTTTCATTTTATGAATACATTATCATCTTGAATAATTCAGATTTTTAATAATCTTGTTATAGTTCCCTTCTTTTCCCTGAATTATCCCCATTTTCTCTGGGGTCAGTTCTGTCCATTCATTCTCATTTTTTGCTTCTCATTCCATCATGAAACGGGGTTTCCATTCCCATTTCTGATGACCAGCTAGGTTGCTTAATGGAAAGAGATGGGTTTCTGCTCTCTTCCCCGAGTGAGGGGAGCGCATGTGAGCTCTGTCTACAGGGAAGTGTGTTGACCTGAAGGCATCTCTTCAGGATGTGAGATGGGGAGCAGGGAGGGGGCACCATCCCTGACCCCCACCAGCCCCAGTACCTATGTTAAGAAACTGTCGTCTGGACTACAACCATGTATTTTGTGGGGCCTGGCCCTTTGCACACAGATTTCTCAATTTCTTTAGAAAATATTCCTCTCCCTTCAGTCTTGGATGGAAAGAACACCCATGTTCAGGGGGATTCCAGGACTCCAACATAAACAAGGTCATCCTATACACCGTTTGCTCATTTCTCTGGGTTGGCCATTCTTCCTACTTCTGTCCTGCCATCCATCTGGGAGGTGGGGAGGTTGTCTTTCTCCCCATGAAAACCTGCTCCCCTGTCTACTTTCTCTAGGGCAAGACTGAGCCTCTCTAGTCTGACTTGCCCACAAGCTTGAAGACCACATGCCTTCTAGATTCCAGAAATCCCTCAAAGCCGTTGATCTTCTATGCCAAACCTATTCCCACTTTTTAATAAATTCATTTATTTTCATACTTTTTAAATTGAATTACCTTATTCATGTTGATACTTTTAAGGGTGGAAGAGGTCGAATACTTGTACTCACTCTGCTATCTTGAACTGAAAGCTAGGTAGAAAATTCCCAACAGTTAAATAAAGGGTAAAGGGCAGCTTAAAAGGTTAAGAATATTCTTTTTACAAAAGCAATTTATATGACCAAAACATTTGTATCCTTGTAATATTCTGAAATAAAATAAAAAGAATATTTTTTTATGTATGTTCCTCAAGGGCTTTAAAAGATCTTTCTTTTTTGTCATTCTAAAATTTAAAATTTTATATTTATATAGTCTATAGTCCATATAGAATCTATAAAAAGTCTATATTTGTATGTTATAAATTCTACAAATTTTATAATTTATGCTTTATATTTACACATATTTATATATATATGCTTTATATTTTATATAAACTCTATCTTAAATTCTATATTTTTAAAAAGTACTATGTATGTTTTTACAATGATAAAGGAATATGTTAAAGGGTGTTAGTTATTAGAACAGTGGTTTAAAACTCTGTCCCGTGAAGACCTGAGGTTCAGCAGGGGTGGCCCATGTATAAAGGAGGAAGATGAGGGAATTAGCTCCCAGTATCCCTGCCCTACTTCAGAAGGAAAAGTGCCACTTTGATCTATTTTATCATATACTTGGGGATCTGTGCAAGAGTTCAGCTGGAAAATGAGCACCATAGCCTAAAAACTGTTTGAAATACATTTTGTTAGAGGCTTTATATTTGGTTTACTCAAGGCTGCTGTGATTTATAAATAAGCTTTGTTGTTTATTTAATAATCACTAAAGAGTTGGCTACTTTTAACCATCAGAATTTATTTTATTAATTCTAGCTCTTGGAACATTTGGCCTCCTTGGCTGCTTCACAGGTTTTTCCTGCCACCTGGTGGAAATATATGTCTATTGCAGGGGCAATTTCTAAATTTAGCTGGTATCTGCCAAAGTTGCAAATACAACCCACAAAGCTGTGAAGATTTGGAATGGATTTTTACATCCATTCCAAGTTACAAGGCACGTCTATAGCCATTATATCTTTTGATCCTCCCACCAGCCCCTTCAGGTGGGTATTCATACTCACTCCCATTTTCAACAGAGGAAAAACAAGCTCAAAAGCTAAGTAACAAACCAAATAAACAAAAGCAAGCTAAGTAACTTACCTTGATGATGGCCAGAAAATTATGGGCCTAGGACTCAAGCCCAAACTTGTAATGATTATCAGAGACTGATAGCTTTGTGACAATCTGAAGGGGTCTTAAATCTGGAGAGATATTTAGGCTGAAGGTATTAAATTGGTAGCCATTCAGAACAGAAGTGGTATTTGAAGTCATATGTTGATCTAAACTTGGAGCCCTGGGAAATGACACAATGGGATGCCATAAACATACCACCTTATTATGGCTTGGTGGTGGCAGGCAAGAGAAAGGTAAGTGTTTGTTTTACCAGGAAGCTCACACTTGGTGATCTGAAATTGCAATCTGAAGAATGGAAATCTTTGTCTATTGCATGAAAATACGTAGCTAAGAAGGAGGAGAAGGAGATGTAACAGCTCAACTCTACATAGTCTGGATCAAACCTATAATTCAGGGCTCTACTTGTTATGAGAAACACAGAAGTGACAGAAAAAATAATAAAGTGTGACTATTCACAGCCTCTTTCTCTCCTTACCCCTCACTCCCAAAAGGATTCTTTCTGACCAAATTATCCAATTAGTCCCTAAACATTTTTGTGAATAGTGGAGTATTTAACAGGGGTGATAACATAAGATAAGGAAGATACCAGGATTTAAAACTGAAAGGGAGAGAACTAAAGACAAGAGGAAAAGAATTTATGCAGAAAAGGAAAAGAAGGCCAGAAATGATGCGAAACTTGGCTGGGTTTAGAAGAAAATATTTCAGAGCAGGAGAGAGATGAGACTTTGGTATAATTGCCTATTGGAGGAGATGGATGGATGGATGGATGGAGAGCAAGAAAGAACAGAACTGGGGAAGCCTCAGATGGGTTGTCAAGCAGAGATAAGCAGGTCATAGGAGCAAGAGATTGGAGCCTGGAGCAAGTCACAAATTCAGGCATGTGGCGAGAGGTGCAAAGTAGGTCAAAACTACTGAGAAAAAGCCCAAGACCAACTTGATTCTGAGGCAAAGTCTGTGCTATCCATGACTCGTCTGCTAAGACGGAAACCATATCCTCTGATGCCAGAGAGAAAGGCCCCATTCCACTGGACACGGGAGGGAAGGGACAGGTTGCTCTCTCCAGGGTTAAAAGCCCAGTTCTGTCATTTTCTAACTGATGACCTTGGCAAATTCCCCCTGTCCACGCCATCCTCTGGACAATGAGTGGAAGAAGCTGGGTGATCCCCAAGGGCTTTTCCAGCTCTGACCCTCTACCTGTAACGGTATCCCAAATGGCCACAGGCAAACCGGCTCTCTCCTTCCCCAGTGCAACTGGGAGAAGCAGGTCTTCCTTTACAGCCAGGCTGTTGCTAAGGGGACTCCTTCCCCAAACCCCACCCTAGCCTACAGCTGTTGTGATCACCACACCACAACTGCCCCCCACCTGCCTTTGGGGCACAGCCTCCAGCACATTCTTTCATGCACCCAGCTCCTACCACATCCTGTTCCTCCAGTTCCCCTTGTTCAGGCCTTTGCCCCTGCTCAGTCCTCTGTCCAAGTGGAATGCCATCTGCCAAACACTCATCCGAGATGCTCCTCGATAGATCCTACAACAGGAAGTTGCCACTCGTCCCTCTCTGAGGCCACCATCTCTGGTTCCTTAGAGTCCCAGGATTCCAGAACTGACAGGCTTAGAATCATGAAGCATGTGTCTTCTGTTTCAGATTGCATTCTCTGTGGGGGCTCAAGAAATATTTATGAAACTACTTATTCAAAGATGTATTATTAAATGAAATAATTAGTAAATAAATGGATGTATAGTGCCAACAAATACAAACACAACACTGCTCACTATATTCATTGCACCATCTCTATCTATCCCCTGGATTTTTGTAATAATTCTTAACTTCTTGTATCTGCCTCTCCTTTCATCTTTCTTGTTTTTAAAACCAAAGTCGTGTTTATCACTTCTCTGCTCAGAGATCTCCAGAGGAAAAGCCACAGGCTTAACAATGGCTTCCAAAGTCCGATATTGCCACGTCCCCATAACTCTCTGATCTCTCCTACTGCTCTCTGCCTCGCTCGCTCCACACCAGCCACACTGGCCTCCTTGCTGGTCAATGAACCTGCCTGACCTTGAACTCTCCCATGACTTTGCCTGCCTGGCTCATCCCCTCACCCCCTCGATCTTTACTCCCGTGTCACTTTCTCTTGGAGGAGTTCCCTGACCACCATGTTTAAAATTTGCAACACGTTCCTCCCCTCTAGTTCCCTATCTGCTTCTCCTGCCTAATTTTTCCCATAGTATTTATCACTTTATGATATATGACATAGTTTATTTATTTACTTTCTAGATCTTCTAATAAGCCTTTGAGGAAGTTTTGGTCTGTTTTGTTCACTGCCGGATCCCCAGGAGCTGGGACAAAATATCTGTTGAATAAAATCCCTGGTTCCCAAGTGGTTCAATAGCAGCACAGTGTATCATTCAAATAAACTAGCCCGACAGCCAAAAATAATTCGAACCCTTCGTTGTGTTCTTAAGAAACACGAAAGGAGATCATAAGTCAAGTGACGCCTAAAATTTCCTTCTGCAATTCAACTCCAGCAGCTGCTGCTTCTACAGCCTTTGCTTCCACGCTTGTCCCACATGGAGAATTCTCCAGGTGCCCTGTCTGTGGAGATTCTTTTCTTCCCCAAGGGCCCTTCCCCCACATTCTCACCAGAAGTCACCTCCAGGACTTCTGCTTCACCACCATTGAGCCACGCCAGCATGGCCAGAGATTCCCCCTCACTCCCTACAGAGGGAAGTGGGCAGAGTCCTTTAAGAAGTAAAGTTCTCTCACCCAGAATGATTTTCCCAAAGTAATTGTAATAAAGAGTATTGGGGTAATAGTTTTTGTCCATTCATTACAAATACAACCATAGGAAGCCAACCGGCCAGGGGCCCCAGTGTCTTCCCAAGGAGCCACTGTGTGTGTTAGTTAGTTGATGCACTTGCTCTCTTAGTGTTATCTTAGCTATGGCCACTTAGGTAGAGATTAGAGACTTCCCTTCCCTCTAAACTCTAGTTTGAGAACCCTGACTTTTCTGAGGATTTGGGGGTTGGGGATATGGGGTGTTTTGGGTCACTCTAGGAGAGAAACTGAGTCAAACCCTCACATGTCCACATCCCAACCCCTACCCACATGCTCAATTCCCTGAGAGGGACATCTGGCTAGCTAGAGAAGCATGTTCCAGAGAGCAGCCAGGTTAAAAAAGCTTTCAGTTCCAGGGACCTGGTCATCTCAGCTGGTGGCCAAGACTCCAGAGTTAGGAGGATAAGCAGCCATCTGGAGAGAAACCCAAGGGTGACAGGGCCCCAGAGCTCCTGCCCTTAAATCAGGGGGACTAAGAGTCATCAGCAGAGGGGAAATGGAAAAGCTAGACCCAAAGGCGAGCCAAGCACCCAGGAATTCCCCTGGGAGCAAGTCTTATGCAGCAAAGCAGACTTGGGCAGCATGATATGGGGTCAGCCAATGGGTCCCCAGGGTGTCCCAAGCAGGCCTGAGGGTCCTGACTCTAAGCCCATGAGGCATGTACAGTAAAGCTGCTGATAAAATTCCTTCCTAGGTCAAAATGGGTACAAAATCTGGAGCAGAATTTAGCCTGCAGGTAGGGCCAACAGCGGCACAGACCAGCCAGAAAATTCATTCATTCATTCATTCCCTCATTCAACAAATACTTATTGAGTGCCTAAGATTGCCAGGCACTGATCTCTTGGAGCTGACATCCTAGTCAAACAGACAAACCCCTACTGGGGGCAAGTCACCCCCAGGGAAGAATGTCTCTGGTGGCTACTCTCATCTTGCTCCTCCAAACCTACTCATGCCACACCTATGGCGAACTTTTAAAACAAAATTCAGGGAGCACGGTGTGCTCGCACTAGATACATACTTTAACCCCAGAAAAAGTTTAACAACCAAACTAAAATCAGAGCGACTCGGAAAATAAGAGAATATCCATGGCTGATTTTACTATTTTTATTTCCTAGAACTCTTGGCAGCCTACGCAGGATTCCAGGATTCCACAGAGCACAATTTAAAATCCTTTGTCCTCAGTCAGGCTGACCTTCCAAAAAAGAGGGGGGCACACACTCTATCCCCCAAGCAGCCGTAGCGTGAGATTTATCAGAGCAGAGTGAGCCAGGCTTCATTACAGGAGCTCAGAGGCCCGAATTTGGCCTCCCAGAGGGTCCTTGCGGACTTGTAAATAGATGCAGTAAAAGAGTAAAGAATGAATTTGTGCAATTGGAAGGAAAGGCTCCAAAGCAGTTGCGGCGATGGGGAGACAAGCATTTAAAAAAGAGTGCCTGCGCATGCATCTCACCCGCGGATGTAATGGCTTCATATACATTCATGAGCTTTGCTCTCCCCACTCTTCCTCTTTTGCAGTTGCCATCATAAAAGACTAAGGAAAAGTGAGAGGGGAGAGAAAGACAGATAAACTTCAAGGGTCCGAATTGCAAACACAACCCACAGTTTGTAAATTGCTTGGAGACCTTTGGCGGGAGAATCAAGGAAATGAAAAGCAGAACATACAGGAATATTGCCGTTTAGGGGAAACTCTCTGCTCTGGGCATAAAATCTTGTCTGGAGCATGGCTGAGAGGCACAATACGGACTAAATGTGAGATTGCTTTGTAGAAAGGACGTGCCTCGTTCTCCACTCTGCGTTCTTCCGCCTGTCTCCTGCGGTCACCTCCAAGGTCATACTCGTGGAAGCTCCAAGATTCTACGGCTTTAGTTATATTAAAAATCAGGGGCTCGGGGCTCCCTGCTGTTTGTTGGCCTGTGCTGCCTCCAGGTAGACCCTCGGAGGGCTTGACCTGCCAGCAAAGTCAGGGTTTGGACCCTGCAGTCACACTTCCTGAGTTTAAATCTACGGTTAGCTGCAAAAAGGCTTTGTGGTTTTCTGCCTTTGTGCATGTGTTGCTTTTGTAATTTGGATAGGGAGATTTATTGGCTTTAGAAATAAACATGAAGACACACACATACACACAAGGTGAGGAAATTGGCTTCTGGTAACTTGATGTCAAGTTATCATTATTACATGCTGGAGTCTCGTGCCCTGAAAGGCAAGCACATGTTGCTAAGTTCAGCTGGAAGGACTGCAGCCATGCAGCTGAAAAGAATGAGAGAAAGATCACAAGCTGTCCACCTTTGCCACACCAGGCTATGTGTTTCGACCAATGGGGCCAGAGAGCCGAACAGCACACTCTGCAGGGTCACAGGGCCCTGCTGCCTGGTCCCTGTGAGTGAGGCTGACCCCAGGCCCCAGCAAGCTGTTCCCGAGCCCCGAGCTGCCTGAGGAGCCGCTCTTCAGAAGGGATGCGAGAGCAAGGTCGTACCCCTGTGTGTTTAGCCCTGGCCTGGCGGCGGCTCTGCAAATCCCTGGCGCGGGGCCAGCGTGGATAATTACATTTCACCTGCCTGTACTCTCCCGTGGTTTCCCTCAGAGACGGATTCCTCTTCTGTGGCTGCCGCGATCCACAACATAAATACTCTCTCAAAGGCAGAATGCTATGCCTGGGCAGCTGAGATTTTGTTCTTTACAAGGAAAATGCTCTTGTAAACAACACACTCTCATTCCTTCGTTCCTTCAGCAAACATTTATTAAGCACCTACTTAATAAGTGCTAAGCCCTGTGCTGGTGGTGCAAGGACGAATAAGACAGCACAGCTTTTGGCCCTTGAGAAGCTTGCGGTCCGGCAGGAAAGCCATCAATATGAGCAGTAACTGCCTTGAAGAGTAGACACTGGCTGGAGAACTGCTAAGAAAGATTCTAAATCTCCTTAGAAGAGTCAGGGAAGGTTTCTAGGATTGGTGGTTTTGAAGCTGAGCTGTTAAATAGAACCCTGATACGCAGGTAATGAGAAGAACATGCCAGGCAGAGGGGAAATCCACATGCTGAGCAGGGGGCCATGAAAGAGGTTGGCAGTGACCCTACAGGAGGGTGGGAGGAACACGTGGCTTGAGAGAGAAGGGGAGGAAGAAGGGAGACTGCAAACGGAGTCTCTGGTTAGGTTGTGAAGCAGCTGGGATATTATGGTAAGGAATTTACCTACAGCATTGGAAGGTCTTTAAGCAGTGGAACCACTGACCCATCCATGTTTTAATAAAGTCGTCTACACCAGTGTGGAGAGAAGATGGGGGAACTTAAGAAGCAAAGGTCAGGGCTGGGCGTGGTGGCTCACGCCTGTAATCCTAGCACTCTGGGAGGCCTAGGCTCTCGGATTGCTCGAGGTCAGGAGTTCGAAACCAGCCTGAGCAAGACTGAGACCCCCGTCTCTACTATAAATAGAAAGAAATTAATTGGCCAACTAATGTATATAGAAAAAATTAGCTGGGCATGGTGGCGCATGCCTGTAGTCCCAGCTACTCGGGAGGCTGAGGCAGTAGGATTGCTTGAGCCCAGGAGATTGAGGTTGCTGTGAGCTAGGCTGACGCCATGGCACTCACTCTAGCCTGGGCAACAAAGTGAGACTCTGTCTCAAAAAAAAAAAAAAAGAAGCAAAGGTCAGAAGATACAACAAAAATATGACCCTATCACCCGAAACTCAACAGAGAGGGAGTGGGAGCCCCACCGAGGGTGGAAGCTATAGGGAGGGAGGAACGGACAAAGCATCAGGAAGGGGAATCCATGGGTTCTTAGTGCCTGGTTAGATGAAAAGTGAGAGAAGAGAAGAATCTAGAAGGATGGATGGCAGGACTACTAACCAAGATGCCACAGGAAGAGGCAGAGTTGGGGAATGAGGGACTCAGGTGGAGATTCTAGGCAGCAGCTGGAAATTCAGTCTGGGCTCAGAAACTCCCATAAATTTCCTGTAATGACTATGGACTATGTTTTATCAGCAATTTATCTCTGGTGGCTCTAGGCCAGTGGTCCTCAAATCCGAGCTTAAGAGTCACCTAGAGGACTTGCTAAAGTACAGATGGCTGGGCCCTACCCTCAGAGCTCCTGACTCAGTGGGTCTGGAGTGCCTGGCCTGGGAACTTTTATTTCTAACAAGTTCCCTGTGCTGCTGACGGGGACCACCCTGGAGCCCACACTGGGAGAACCTGTGCTCTAGACTTTTGTTTGGGCCATTTCTCCCACTGGATCTAAGATTTTTCCTCAGGATGAGTAACTAAAAGGGTCCATACAGGTGGAGATGATCAAAAATGTTTCCCTTACAACAGACGTTTCTGGTAAAAAAAAAAAAAAAATGTTTCCCTTTTACCAACAGGATCCTAAGGATTCCATTCTAACCACTAAAAACAAGTGTCTGAATTTGGTGACTGATTAATCTCCCAACTTTTATTACTCAAATGACAAGTGTTTTTTAAGACAACTTACCCTATAATAATAGGTACCATCTTTTTAGGGCCTACCACATGCCAGGTACTGTGCTAAGCACTTCACAAACATTATCTCATTTAGTTCTATCAGTAACCCTATGGAAGTGAGTATTTTTATAATCCCCATTTCTAAGATGAGGAAACTGAGACACTGAGTGGTTAAAATTAGCCCAACTGTTGCCAGTAAATGGCAGATTGAGCACAGAGCCCATGCTCAAATACTACAAAGTGATGCCTCCTTTATCATCCCATATTTCACTCTATGAAATAGGCTAGCTTACTCCAAGACCAACATCTTCCACATCCTATTATACCATTAACCCATAGTGGTTTCCTGAATGTTTTCAAAAATCTGCCAGCGCATAGCTGGCAACAACAATGGAGGGTAATAATCATCTTTCAGCTTCTTAATAACCCTTGTGCATTGAACAATCAAGAGAAGGGAAGGGTCAAGTGCAAGGCAATGCCCTGTGGTGCTATGAATGAGCTGGAGGAGTCTCCGCCATCACGCCTGGGGATACACAGTGTTCTTGGCATATTACAGTGTAAAAGCCTCTCACAACATCTGTTCCAACGACATCTCTAGACAGTACATGTGGCATCATCCTTAAAAGACGATTTTCAGAAAGCCCTAAACAATAGTTAAAGATTTTTTGGCCACCTCCAAAGAGGGAAGCAAACAAAGCAAGCGATTTATGTCCCAGCTCTCTACACAGAATCTATAATGGTAGGTATTTAGCCCCGAAGTTACATGCCTAAACTATGAGATAGAATGTGTCCTGTGAGATTACAGGACATTAGAAATTTGTGACCTGTATCCTAGCATCATTTTAATGTAAATTCCTAAAAGCTAGGAAGTGTGACTAAGGCTGCTTGAGGAAGCCACAAATACCAGAACACACCCACTCCCAAACCCCCCACTTCTGAGAGATTAAGTTCTTTAAAAGGTATAAGAATGTGCCCTTCTGGAAAAGATAGTGCTAAAGAAAATTTTAGCAGGAGAACCATCCCCAAACTATCCAGAGCTAAGCCTGACCCTAACAGTCATAGACCCATGAACAAGGAGGACCTAGAATTAAGTCTTGATGTCAAAGCAAGCCCCACATGTAAGCCTTCTTCCAAATCTCTGTCCTTATTACTGGCTTTCAGTATCACCACTAGAGTCTGGACTTGAATCTTGGTCCTTGTGGGTCAGGTCCAGGAACCTCACCCTACTTCATTCTTGGAGCCCCTTTTCCCCCAGGGCCTGGACACAACATCCAAAACACTCCAACCACCAAAACATCTCCCACACCTGTGGCTGGCTAAGTCTTATTCTAAACTGGGCAGAACCATTCAAAACAGATTGCTGCCTCATGTCTGAATTCCAGAAAAATTTTGGCTTTAGCTCTTGCTACCTTAATCCAAACAGCACATCATTGTCCCTCGGATACAGACTCTGTGTCAGAGATTGCTAATCCTTACCAAATTTATTCCCTCTCGTCTGGGGCCCATAGCCCAGTCTCCCTTGCAGTTAGATGTGGCCACATGATTCAGCCCTATCAAAGGAAAATGAGAAGTAGTGGTCCAAGTCCGGCCCATAAAAACTTCCTGTGTGACCTTCTTCCCCTTCCAGTGGGTGTTGCTGTCCAGGGTGACCTTGAAAGCCATGTATTAAAGGTAGTAGAACCTGTCCACCTGGATTCCTGTGTGGAGCACAGTTATCCACCAACTAGAGCTGCCGTGGCCTCTCCAGGTGAATGAAAATAAACTTGTATTTGACTTTGGTTACTGCAGTTGGCTTATCCAACTAATACAAATGGATTATGCCCTGATCCACTAATACTCTTTGGAGCATCCTCCACAAGGACCCTCCTCATTGGTGAGTTAACCTCCTTGGACCCATACTCAGCCCCGGCTTGGTTATTTTTCCTACCATATATGGCAGAGATCTCAGCATCTCTCCACCAATCTCATCTAAGCAAGCATAGCACCTATGGGCTCAGGGATGGGAAAAGCTAGATTTGCGGGGAGGAGATGAGGGAGTGTACACATGCACATCCCTGGGCCTGTTTCTCTCTGTCTGTCTACCAGAGATGGTTTGGCCAGCATCCCCCAGTGAGGGAGAATGTAATCCACAACTTCAGTGCCATCCTGTGAAGACAGGAGGGGATCCGAAGCTATGCTGATTTGTTACTGATTTACCTTGCTTTTCTAGAGTAGATTGTTTCAACTGGTTCTTGTGAAGAGACATGGAAATTGCCTTTTTTATAGCAATTAGGAGTCCAGACAGAATTTCTGTTAACCCAGTTTTAAAATGTTGTAAAAGTGTTCTGGGTCCCTATTTGAAATGTCCTGGTCCTATGACACCTAGGAGAGGCTTAGAACCTGAGGTCCCTGAACCAGCGGAGGGCAGAGATGAAATACAAGAAAGAAACATAGGGAGCATGGTAAGACCACTGATTTCCATGAGCATGGACCTACTATTGCTACACTTCATTTGCTGTGAAGTAAATTCTTTGATCAGAAACTGTGCTGTATGGAAAACAATGATGATGCATAAGACACTCTGTTAAGTCCACATCTGATGGTTTGGGTAGAAGCATTATATGCAAAGATGTCAAATATGTACCCAGAGTAAGCATCTGTCCCGCTAAGAACAAAGTATTGCCCCTTCCATAATGGAAGCTGCCCAGTGTAATCAACCTGCCATCAGGTAGCTGGCTGATCACCCAGGGGAATGGTGCCATAATGGGGATTTACTATTGGTCTCTGCAGACTAGGCACTTGGCAGGCAGTGCCTGTAGCCAGGCCAGCCTTGGTGAGTAGATGTCCATGATGTTCTGTATATATTTAGGATCAGCTCCTCTACAGCATCTGTAGATTGCTTTGGGAAGTATAGCCATCTTCACAATATTAAGTCTTCCAATGCGTAAACATTGGATATCTTTCAATTTATTTAGGTCTCCTTCAATTTCTTTCAGCAGTGTTTTGTAGTTTTCAATGCACAAGTCTTTTACCTTCTTATTTAAATTTATTCCCAGGGATTTTTTTTCTTTTGCCTGGTGTATCAGTCAGGGTTCTACAGAGACACAGAACGTAAAGGGTGGATGGATGGACAGATGGGTGGATGGATGGACATATACATACATATATGAAGAGATTTATTTTAAGGAGTTGGCTCACACAGTTATGGAGCTGGCAAGTCCAAAATCCATGGGGCAGGCTAGAAACTTAGGCAGAAGTTGATCTGCAGTCTTGAGGCAGAATTTCTTCTTCTCTGGAAAAACTCAATTTTTGTTCTTAAAAATATCTATGGAAAAAAAATGTCTATGGCATCTCTATTCATAATAATCCAAAACTGGAAGCAATGAAGATGTCCTTCAATAGGTGAGTGGACAAACTGTGGTACCTCCATACAATGGAACACTATTCAGAGAAAATAAATGAGCTATCAAGCCACAAAACAATGAATCTGAAAAGCATATTTCTAGGTGAAAGTCAGTCAATTTGGATAAACTACATACTAAATGATTCCAACTACATAACATTCTGGAAAAGGCAACACTATAGAGATGATAAAAAGATCAGTGGTTGTCAGGAGTTTGGGGGCAAAGCGAGTTGAACAAGTGAAGCACAGGGATTTGGGGGCAGTGACAGCAGTACAACTATCTATATGAATCCGTAACAGTGGACACATGACATCATGCATTTGTTAAAATCCACAGACCTTTACGGTGTACAAAGAGTGAACCTTAATGTATGCAAATATTAAAAATATCAATGAGGTGACCATGGGAACCCCAGGATGGAATGCAGAGTGTGACAAAACAATGTAGCAAATGTATGAAATAACCTCACTGAAGGGGATGGGGATAAGGGTGCTGATCTAAGTAATTTGGGGAATGAATGGCATGTATAAGGCTA